GGTCTGTGGTAATAATGACTACTGCAGGCACCAGTCTGGTAATATGGGTTCTGCTGACATTTCAGGTATTCCCAGGACAGGAAAGAGGCTTCTGAGGTTGGAGTAGAGTGTCCACTGGCCAATATGGACTAGGAAACTTCTAGAGTACAGGTCTTCCTTTTTCACTGTCCCTGTTCAATTTTCACCTTCATATGGTGAGTCAAACCCATTAAAAGCCCACCCGTCTTGGGCATTCATAAGACTGGTTTTATTAATTAAAATGAGAGCTAACCATGATTAGCACTTGCTTTGTGCTAGACACTTTTCAAAATGTCTATTAGCTCATTTTTGCTAGTTATAAGTATCATTTTATAGACCTAAAAGCTCAGCTACACAGAGGTTATTATTCAGAACATGAACTGAATGGCAGTGCTAGGGTTCCAAATTCAGTCAGCCCCCAAAAAACAAACTGTGTGTGTGTGTGTGTGTGTGTGTGTGTGTGTGTGTGTGTACTGACACATATAACATGCAGCCTGGCCTGAAGAATTCATTTTGACTTAAGTAAACATGATACTCTAATAAACTATAATTGTGGTTCAGCTGATAAACAGATATACAAAAATCTCAGATATTATTATAAGGGCTAGAAAATTTTTAATGTAATAGTTGTTAATTTAGTATAAGCTGATAAAGGACTGAGCACTATTAAAAATATTGTTAGTGAAAAGAGAAATTCTCTACTTACTGAGACTAGGTCATTTAATGACTATCAATTTACTGGAGAAGTCATTAGAAAAAAAATTAATACATTTGCCAAATCATAAATCAGGGAGAGGCTTCTTTTAACAGCCACCTCAAGCAAGTAACACAACAATACTTTTTAAAAATTAAAAAATAATTTGGAAATTATTAGAATAATTAGACAATTTATATTATAGTTTATATCTCTTGGTTAGCACTTTTATAAGAGAATAATGTTTACTATGTAAATCCATTTGTGTCATAGAATATATTTTCAACTTTTAATTACATAATGATTTATACATTTAATATACATTTCCATACCAGTGATTACATACTTTTACTATCACTCCTAGACATCTATTAAAAATTTTAATATACATATCTGTAGGCCCATCAATTCCAAGGTTAATAATTTACAGAAATAAAAACACTAATATTAGCATTGTTCACAGTGCAGAAAAAATGGAAACAAAGAGAATGCACATTATAAGAGTTAAGATAGAGTAGGTTATGCCAACAATCATAGACAATTCCAAACTCTCAGGGGCTTAACACTGCAAAGTCTTATTTCTTATTCATACTACATGACCATGGTAGGTTAATGGGTAAATTTTATTCTATGTAGTTTTCATTCATAGATATAGTATGACAGGAATTTCATCAACTGTAACATCACAAATTGCTGCAGCAGGAGAAGAGTGTGATAGGTCTCACACTACTAATCAAATACTCTGGCACAGAAATAATTAATGCACAACAGTTCTACCTAACTTCATTGGCCAGAACTTATCATATAGGCTCACCATGATGGGAATGGAAATACAATCTTTTCACATGCCCAGAAGAGAAAAAAAGAACTAGGTATAGGTGATCATAAGAATCTCTACCACATTTTAATAAATAGCTGAATTATGGTCCATCCATGAAATATTACTACAACCATTTAAAAGAATGCATTGGAAATATACCGTTAGATTTTCATGTGAGACTGAGAAATGTTAGATTCTGAAAAGTATATCTCATTTTTGTAAATTAACCATGACTAGAGAATCTTGTGTGCATGCATATGTAAAAAAATGCAATTAAATATTTATTATTTTCATCTGTTATTGAGAAAAAGAAGAAAGGATTTTTTCCCTTAGGAGAGAGGGATTTGGCCTAGGGGGGGACCCTGATGTGTGTAGAGAGGGGAAGAAAGAGGGTGAGGATAAAAGCAAAAGGGAAAAAAAGAGGGTACTAAGATTTTATATGACTATATTTATGTACTGATATAAATTATGTGTATGCATATAGAAATCAAGTCATTTTTCAAATCTTTTCTTTTTGATTGCTTTCATAGGCCTCAAATTACTGATCTGTTGAAATTGAATCTTTTCAGTTCCCTTCAGTTCTAAACCCTATGATTTCATAACTTAATGTTAAGGCTTATCTGTCTCCTGTTTATTTCCTATTTCTAACCCAGAGCTGACCTGCCACTGATTAAGGTTCTGGATGTACTTCTATAGCCTGTGGACTATTAATTATACTGAATTCAGGTTGCCTGAATTATAAATAATTTATTTCTAACCTTTATTATCAACCAAAGCAGGTTGTTCTTTGACATCATGAATTTACATTTACATGAAGCGGGAGACATTTTATTATCACTAACGTGACAAAATTATGGGTATTTTTCTTAGGCTAGGTATTAGATATAATCTAAAAGTCTGGAACTTAAATTTTTAGTCTAAAATTTTCCCATCTACCACCTGGTCTCTTCCAATTGCTGCAATAGCTTCACCCTGTTCCAATTTACCTTTAACGAGCTTTCTAAAGATTGCTATTTCTTCTGTCTTAATTTTCTCATCCTTCTTATACATCAATAACATTTTTTTTTAAGAGAGAGGGTGAGCAAACATGCAAACATGGGGAGGAGGAGACGGAGAGAGAGAATCTCAAGCAGGCTCCATGCTCAGGGCAGAGCCTGCCACAGGGCTCAATTTCATGATCCTGAGCTCATGACTGGAGCAGAAAACAAGAGTCGATTGCCCAATCAACTAAGCGACCCAGGTGCTTATTCTTATTCATGTCCAAAACTCATCTCTTCTAGAAGGCCTTCTTGGAAACCAAGACATGAGATTATCTTTCATGTCTCTGTATGTCTTACATTTACATACACCTGAACTACTTACATTATAAGTGATTCATTTGCTTACACATTTATATTTGCTACTGGACATCAAGTCATTGAGAGCAGAGATTGTATATCATATAGATAATCCTAAATCCAAATATTTATGCTTTCAGGTATTGCCACTCAGAAGAATTTGACACAGAATATCCCCTTCTTGAATCACTTTATTCTTTAAGTTTCCATGATCCCCTTATATTTTACGTCTCTCCTCCTTAGTCTTTGCAGCAACTCCTTTATTATTTTACTTTTAAATGTTCCAGTATCACAAGGCTCAGTATCAACTCTTTTCTATAACTACACCCTCCTATCCATAAAAAGAGTGCATTCAGTACTATGCTTTATTTTAATTTTATTTAAATTCAGTTAATTAACATATAATGTATTATTGGTTTCAGAGGTAGAGGTCAGTGATTCATCAGTCTTATATAATACCCAGCGTCCATTACATCACATGCCCTCCTTAATGTTCATCACCAGATTAGTTATCCCCTGGCAAGAGCGGTGCAATTCTCCCTTGGGCAGACCCTGAGAATCAACACAACAGGTCCCTTTTCCAGATCAGCAAGAACAGTCCCATGCTTTAAATGGCATATATATGCCAATGATTACTAAATAATGACCCTTCTGGAGAACTCCAGATTCATTTGTTAAAAGACCCATTTAACTGCTCCACTTAGATATCTTAAGATATCTCAATTATTACATAGCACCAATATTACATATCTCAAAACAGAACTTTGAGACCCAACTTTGCACCTTCTCTTTTCCTCACATCATCCTTATTTTAGGCCAATATGTCAGCAAATCTTTTTGGTGTTTCCCCTGTTGCAGCAACCTTGGAAGCCAGCTGTTGAATGAGGCAGAACTAAAAGTTCGAGGGAGCCAGGTTTCCTGAATCACTGACGGGAATGCTGCTCACTAATTAGGAACATTTATGTTGGACTTTTGAGAAGTGAAAAGTTGACAAATGATCAGCCAGAGAAGCAGCATTACCTTAACACACTAGTCTTGTTTTATTTAAAAACATTTGAAAATATATAGCTAAAATATGAAATATCACATTATCAAGACTAATAATCCTCTTAAAAACCTTGCTAAGGAGACTAATTATCAATTTTCAATGAAGATATCAGAAGCTGGAAGTCCTAAAACCATCTCCAGTTTTATTTATTGTCTATTTCCCTCACTAAAACGTAAACTCTAGAAGAACAGAGGGTTTATTTCTCTGTTTTGTTCACTGTCATATCGCCAGTATCTAGAACAGTGCTTGACTCTTAGTGGGCACTCAATATTTACTTAAATTAATGAGTGTTGAATAAATAACATTAGGAAGCCATACTGGTATAGCCTTTTTTTGCTACAGCTAAAAGCCATTTGTCAATTTTATAAATAGATAAAGCTGCTTAAGAACTGTGAAGCCTCGGGATCCCTGGGCAGCTCATGGGATCTCTGGGCAGCTCATGGGATCCCTGGGTGGCTCAGTGGTTTAGCGCCTGCCTTTGGCCCAGGGCACAGTCCTGGAGTCCTGGGATTAAGTCCCATGTCGGGCTCCCAGCATGGAGCCTGCTTCTCCCTCCTCCTGTGTCTCTGCCTCTCCCTCTCTCTCTCTCTCTCATAAATAAATAATAAGTAAATAAATAAATAAATCTTTAAAAAAAAAAGAACTGTGAAGCCTCATTAAAATGACCTTAAGATTTTAAAAATAAATATCAAATTATGATCAGCTATTCAGATGACCTTACAGAATCAATGAAAAGCATTTTTTTGCATCCAAAATATTTTAATAGTAAAGAATAAAGAGTAAATCTCAATATGCTCCTAGCATTCAATAGATAACTTCACAAATTTGAAAACTTAGCTAAAACAGTTTCCATGAATACAAGAAAAGATAAAAAACAAAACAATCATCTTATTATCTAAGTAGAATTACAAGTTTTCGGGTAACATGTGGTAATTTAGGCCAAAACATAAAAATCATAAGGAACAAATTATGCAAATATAAAAAAGTCTCAATGTCAGAAAACGGCTCTTCAGAAAATAAAAAATTTTAATTAACTATAAATTTGATGTTATTAGGCTCCTTAATCACACTGATTTTCTGAAATTAAACAAATAGCTTTTCTGCATCCTTTAGTTTTTTTTTCCTATCCATTTTAGCAATTACAGCCCAACGATCTTCCCGCATTTTCCTCACTGCTCCAAACTTCAGCGTAGATCCAGGGGTTGTTAGAGATGAAGGGGTCTTGAATACAAAATCAAATCAAATCAAATCAAAATATGTCTAATTTAAAAGATAAAGTCCAGCTTTTGAAATTTTCTTTCTAAAGTAAAAATTAAAAACTACCTTTAAAAAGCCCTACCTTTTTTGGTGTCCTGACACAAAGATGAGAAGTTGTTGGATAATTATTATTCTTGTATAATTTTTTCAATGTCTCTTCTTCTGAAACCATGCTCTTAAAGAAAAATACAAAAGAATAATTTGGAGTCTGTCATCACTAATATTAAAATTTTGCCTACATATCACAGAGGAGGAGAAAGACAAGGAACGGAAGGTGGAAAGAAAGGAGGTGAGAAAAGGGAGGAGAGAGGAAAAAGAAGAGAGAATAAAGAAGAAAAATTGAAGACGATGACAAAATAAATACTCGACATGCCAAACAAGGACATAGATTTAGATTCTATTAACTATATTCCTGAAAGGTTATATGAGATACACGATATCTATGAATAGTACTTTTCTACTGTTTTCTAGTTCAGTTTCAGTCTTTATACTACTACTTTACCATCCCTTTTCCCCTAGCCTACTTACTCAAACTCACACTTTGGCCTTAAAATAAGCAGTTATAAGCTTATAAAAATTATAATGTTATCAACTATCAATTTATGAGTATTATAATTCTCCCCAAATAATAATAGCTAACATTTATTTACTACTTTCTATATTAGGCCTTGTTTTAAGCACTTTACATATTTTAATTAGTTTTAATCCTCAAGATAATTTCATGGAATAAGTATACTATTATCACCACTTTGAAGGTGAAGAACTGAGACAAAGAAATGTTAAGTAATTTGCCTAAAATAATACAGCTAGTTAAGAGTGGAGCCAGGATTCAAATCTAGGAAAGCAGGCTCTAGAAATCCATTCTTTTAATGAATATGCTATACAGATTTGGTCTGGTAAGTAATCGGTTCACATTATCTTTTCCTGCTCACTAATGTCACACTGCAGAGGTACATGAATAAAAATATTGAAACAGATTTTCATGAATTCTAAGATTTCACCAGAATTCAGTACGTCATAAAGAATGCCTTTTGGGGGATCCCTGGGTGGTGCAGCAGTTTAGCGCCTGCCTTTGGCCCAGGGCACGATCCTGGAGACCTGGGATCGAATCCCATATCGGGCTCCCGGTGCATGGAGCCTGCTTCTCCCTCTGCCTATGTCTCTGCCTCTCTCTCTCTCTGTGTGACTATCATAAATAAAAATAAAAATAAATTTAAAAAAAAGAATGCCTTTTGGGACACCTGGGTGGCTCAGTGGTTGAGCGTCTGCCTTTGGCCCAGGGTGTGATTCTACAGTCCCGGGATCAGGTCCCACATCGGGATCTCTGCATGGAGCTTGCCTCTCTCTCTCTCTGTGTCTCTCATGAATAAATAAAATCTTTTAAAAAAATAAATTAAAAAAAAACCTAAAGAGCTTCCTTTTCAAATATACTCAGAACCACTATGTACCAACTGATCTGCTTAGAAAAATTATTTTAAAATCATCTTAAAAAAATAAAATAAATAAAAAATTAAAAAATCATCTTAAAAACTATTAAAATTTTACTCAGTGCACAGTAATTTATTATTCGTTAATGACTGCCCATTTAAAAATAACAAATTAACCCAATTTAAAACAAAACTTTATCCTTATACTCTGTAACATTCATCTTTTCATGTGTTTATTAGCCATTTGTATATCCTCTTTGGAGAAATGTCAATTCATGTCCTTTGCTCATTTTTAAATTGGGTTGTGTGTTTTTCATTGCTGAGTTATGAGAGTTCCCTATGTATTCTGGACATTTATCCCTTTTCAGATATATGATATGGAAATATTTCTGCCATTCTTGAGCTTGTCTTTTCCCTTTCTTAATAGTGTCCTTTGATTCACAAAAATTCTTAGTTTTGAAGTCAAACTTATCAGTTTTCTCTTTTCTTGTCGGTGCTTTTGGTGTCATACCCATGAGGACCTTGCTAAATTTGATGTCATGAAAATTTCCCCAATATTTGCTTCTAAGAGTATCATAGTTTTAGCCTTAAGTTTTGGTTTTTGATCCATTTTGAGTCAGTTTTTCTATGTAAAGTAAGAGTCCAACTTTATTATTTTGCATGTGAATACCCAGTTCTAACACCATTTGTTTAAAAAAACAAAAAACAAAAAGTCCTTTGCCCCTGCTGAATGGCCTTGGCACTCTTACCAAAATTAATAAACTACGTATGTGAGAATTTATTTCTAGGCTACTTTACTCCACTGGTCTATATATCTGTCCTTAACCTAGTACTAATCTGTTTAAATTACTAGCTTCTGGAAAGTTTCAAAGTCAAGAATCATGAGTCCTCCAACATTACCTTTCTTTTTCAAAACTGTTTTAGCAATTTGGGGACCCTTGCAATTCCATATGAATTTTAGTATCAGATTTTCCATTTCTGCCAAAAGGCTGTTGGAATTTTGATAGAGATTGCACTGAATTTACAGACTGCTTTGGGTAGTATTGATATCTTAACATGCTAAAGACTTAACATCCATAAACAATTTTTTCCTATTTCGTTAGGTCTTCTTTAATTTCCTTCAGCAATGTTTTGTAGTTTTCATTGTATTTCAATGTTTCACCTTCTTGGTTAGATCTGCTCCTAAATATTTGCTTAGATGATACTGTATATGGATTGTTTTCTTAATTTTCCTTAATTTCCTTTTGGATTAATCACTGCTGATGTATAAAACCATAATCAATGTCATGTGTTCTTACACCCTTCCACACTGCTAAGTTCAAATGAACTTTTTATTAGCTCTAATAAATAGCCTTCTTGTGGTCTTTGTGATTTTCAGTGGATAGGATAGAATCATGGATAGGATAGAATCATGGCATCTGCAAATAGTTTTACCTCATTCCCATTTGTATGCCTGCTTTCTTTTTCCTCCCTCCCCCCCTTTGTTTTTTGCCTAATAGCCTAATAGTTCCAGCTAGAACTTCCACTACAATGTTGACTAGCAGTGGTGAAAGTGGACACCCATGTCACATTTTTTAAAATATTTATTTATTCATGAGAGACAGAGAAAGAGAGGGGGGGGGCAGAAGGAGAAGCAGGCTCCATGCAGGGAGCATGATGTGGGACTCAATCCTGGGTCTCCAGGATCATACCCTAGGCTGAAAGCAGCGCTAAACTGCTGAGCCACCCAGGCTGCCCTCCCATGTCACATTCTTAATCTAAGGGGGAAACTTTCAATCTTTCACCATTGAGTATGATGTTAAGTTGTGGGTTTTCATAAGTACTTTTTGTCATGCAAGGAACTACCCCTCTATTCTTAGCTCTATAATAGTTTCTAAAATGAAAAATGTTGGATGTTGTCAAATGCCTTTTCTGTACCAAATGAAATGATCATAGGTGATTTTTCCCCCTTCATTATATTAATGTGATATATTACACTGATTTTCTTATATTGAACCAGCCTGGCATTTCTTAGATAAATCACACTTAGATAAAACTCATAGCACTTTCATATGATGTGGAATTTGACTTGCTAATATTTTGTTAGACATTCAGAAGGGATAATAGCCTTTAATTTTCTTTTCTAGTAATGTCTTTATCTTGCTTTGGTATCAAGGTAGTGTTAGCCTCATAGAATGAGTTATCAAGAGTTCTCTCTTCAAATTTTTGAAGTCTGAGAAGGTTATGTCCTCAAATGTTTTATACAATCCATCAATGAAGCCATCTGGCCCAGGACTTTTCTTTGTTGAGACATTTTTGATTACTAAGTCCAATTCTGTACTTACTATAGATAGACCTGTTGAGGTTTTCTATTTCTTCTTGAGTCAGTTTAATTCATGTGTTTCAGGGATTTTACCCATTTATCCATTTCTCCTAGGTTCTAAAATTTGTTGGCATATAGTAAACAAACTATTTTCTTTTTATCTGAGTGATTAGTAATAATATACCCACTTTTCATTTCAATTCTAGCTTTTTACATCTTCTTGTTAGTCTAGCTAAAGATTTGTCCACTTTTTAATCTTTTCAAATAAATTTGGGTTTCATTGATTTTTTCTATTGTTTTCTATTCTCTCATTTGTTTATCTCCCCATGAATCTTTATTATTTCCTTCCTCCTGCTCGCTTTGAGCTCCCTTCTATAGCTCTATAAAGTTTAAGTTATTGATTTGAGATCTTTTTTAATGTAGGAATTTAGAGCTATAAATTTCCTTCTGAGTATTGTTTTTGCTGTAACACATAAATAAATTTTGGTATATTGTGTTTTCATTTTTATTTATATGAGTCTTAATTTCCTTTGTGATTTCTTATTTGATCTACTGGTTGATTAAAAGTGTGTTAATTTTGGGGCACCTGGGTGGCTCGGTTAGCATCTGACTCTTGATTTCAGCCCAGGTCATGATCTCAGGGTCAAGACCCATATCAGGTTCTGAACTCAGTGGAGAGTTTGCTTGAGATTCTCTCTCTCCCTCTCCTCCTTTCCTCACACTCTCTCTAAAATAAATATTTAAAAAATAAAAGTGTTAATTTACATGGAATTTGTGAATTTTCTAATTTCCTTACTCCATGATTTCTAATTTCAACCCATTATAGTCAGAGAAGATGCTCTGTATGATGTCTTTTAACAATGGAAAAAAGTCTCTTCAACAGTGTTGGGAAAACTAGACAGAACATGCAAAAGAATGAAACAGAACCACTTTCTTACACCATACACAAAAATATATTCAGAGACCAAAATGTGAGACAGAAAACCGTCAATCCTAGAGGAGAACACAGGGAGAAACCTCTTGACCTCAGTCATAGTGACTTCTTACTAGACATGTCACCAGAGACAAGAGAAACAAAAGTAAAACAAACTATTGGAACTTTATCAAGATAAAAAGCTTCTGCACAGTGAAGGAAACAAAACTTTAAGGCAGCCTATGAAATGGGAGGAGATACTTTCAAGTGACATATCTGATAAAGGGTTAGTATCCACAATCTAAAAAAACTTATACAATTCAACATCCAAAAAATAAATAATCCAGTTAAGAAATAGGCAGAAGACATGAATAGACTCTTTTCCAAAGAAGACATCCAGGTGCATAACAGACACATGAAAATGTCACTCCTTAGAAGGGAAATACAAATCTAAACCACAAAAGATACCACCACACACCAGTCAGAATGGCTAAAATTAACAACACAAGAAGTAACAGGTGTTGGTAAGGATGCAGAGAAAGGGGAACCATCTTGCACCATTGGCGAGAATGCATACTGGTGCAGCCACTCTGGAGAACAGTATGGAGGTTCCTCAAAAAGTTAAAAATAGAACTACCCTATGACTCAACAATTACACTACTAGGTATTACCCAAAGGACACAAAAATACAGATTTGAAAGAGTACATGCAGCCTGATGTTTACAGCAGCAGTATCAACAATACCCAAACTATGGAGGGAGCCCAAATATCCTTCGACTGATGGATGAATGGATAAAGATATGGTGTATACACACATGCATGCACACACACTGGAATATTACTCAGCCATCAAAAAGAATGAAAACTTGCCATTTGCAATGGCATGGATGGAACTAGAGTGTATTATGCTAAGTGAAATGTCAGTCAGAGAAAGACAAATACCATATGATCTCACTCATATGGGGAATTTAAGAAAGGAAATAGATGAACATATGGGAAGGGGGAAAAGAAAAAAAAGAGAGAGGGTAACAAACCATAAGATACTCAACAAAAGAGAATTGAGAGTTGATGAAAGAAAGTGAGTGGGGATGGACTAGATGGGTATTAAAGAAGGCATTTGTTGGGATGAGCACTGGGTGTTGCATGTAAGTGGTTGGATCACTGAATTGCACTGTATATTAACTAAAGTTTAAATTTAAAATAATCCATTAAGACTTGTTTTGTGGTCTATATGGTTTCTCCTGAAGAATATCTTATTAATAATGTCTTTCTTTGCCTCTTAAACTTTTTGATTTAAAGTCTATTTTGTTGGTCATAGTATAGCCATCCCAGATCTTTTATGGTTACTATTTGCATGGAATATCTTTTTCCAACAGTTCACTTTCAATTAGTGTCTTTGGTTCTGAGTCTCTTTTAGACAGCATCATATGTATTATAGTATATTCTTTAAAATCAATTCAAAATAAAATAAAAATAAATTCTATAAACCTATGTTAATTGGAAAATGTAATCTATATTTACATTTAAAGTAATTACTGATAGAGATTAACTTCTGCTTGTTTGCTTTTTGTTTTCTATATGCCTTATAGGTTTGTTTGTTTTCTCTCTCATTTTCTCTGTTACTATCTTCTTTTGTGGTTAGGTGATTTTTTTGGTAGTGAAATATTTTTATTCCCTCCATATTTCCTATAGTGTATATTCTACAGATTTGTGTAGTTACTATGGAGATTACATTTAACATCCTAATGTTATTAACAACCTAATTTTAATTTATAGCTTTACTTCAATAGCCTATAATAATTCTGCTTTTATATGACTTCATGGCCCTTTTCTATTATTGATGTCACAAATTACATCTTTATATATTGGGTGCCAAGTAACACAGATTAGCCATTTTAATGCATTCCTTTTAAATCCTGTAGAAAATAAAAAGTGAGGTTACGAACAAAATTATAATACTAGCTTTTGTAATTTCCCACATATTTTTTTTCAGAGATCCTCTATTTCTTCATATGGATTTGAATTACTGGCTAGCATCCTTTCACTTTGACCTGAACAATTCCCTTTAACATTTCTTAAAAAGTGGTTCTAGTGGTAACTCCCTCAGCTTTTGCTGATCTAGGAAGGTCTTAATTTCTCCCCCATTTCTTTTTTTTTAATTTATTTATTTATGATAGTCACAGAGAGAGAGAGAGGCAGAGACACAGGCAGAGGGAGAAGCAGGCTCCATGCACCGGGAACCCGATATGGGATTCGATCCCGGGTCTCCAGGATCGTGCCCTGAGCCAAAGGCAGGCGCCAAACCGCTGCGCCACCCAGGGATCCCTCTCCCCCATTTCTTAAGAACACTTTTAGCATATAGCAAATTCTCAGTTGATAATTTCGTTTTTTTTCAGCACCTTGGATATGGAAAACTACCACCTTCTGGCTTCCAAGGTTTCTCAGTGAGAAATCAGCTGATAATTTTATTAAGAGTACCTCATCTGTGGTGAGTTGATTCTCACTACTTTCAAGATACTTTGTCTTTGTCTTTAAACAGTTTGATTATAATGGGTGTAAGTCTATTGACTTTCTTCCTTTTTACCCCCTCTCTTTTTCTGGGACTCCCACAAAGCATATATTGGTCTGTTTGATAATGTCCCACAAGTCTCAGGCTGCCTGTTCACTTTTCTTTTTTTTTTCTCTTCTTTACTCAAACTCAAAATAATTTCAATTGTCCTATTTCATCAATTCTTTCTTCTGCTTACACGAATCTTTTAAAATTCTCTAATGAACTTTTCATTTGTTATTGTACTTTCAACTTAATTTCTTTTTGGTTCTTTTTATAATTTCTCTTCATCAATATTCTCATTTTAGTCATACATCATTCTTCTGTCTTTGTCTGTCTTCCTTTAGCTCTTTCAGCATCTTTAAGACAATTTTGAAATATTTGTCCTGTAAGTTCAACACTGGGGCTTCTTCAGAGACATTTTTGTTGACTTGTTTTGCTATGCTTTCCTTCTTTGTATACTTTGTGATTTTTTTGGTGGTTGGAACTAGATATGAATCTTCTAACTGGATACTGCAAATCAGATTCTTCCCTTTCCCCAGGGTTTGCTGTAGTGAGTTAGGGTTTTTTTTTTTTTTTTTTTTTTTTTTTTTTTTTTTTTTTGCTTTATGTAGTATAAGTTTCTGTGCCATGGATCAGCCTGGATTAAAATTTTGAGATCTTCTCAGGTTTTTTTTTTTTTTTGAGCCTTTCCCTGGGCATGTGCAATGGTTTTAAATACCCCAGAAATGTGATTGCTCTTGAATGTCCTAATTCTTAAAATGCCTGGTCCTCCAAAGAAGACAAGTGAAAAAAAGAAAACCAAGTACAGTTCATTTAAATACTCTGTGAGACGCTTTCAGCCAGTGTGGGTTGAAATAATGGCAGCCAGTTTCTGTGCCTGCACAATGATGAGAAGTAGCAATGATAATACAAAACACTGAATCTTGATATTCAGAGAAAAAAATCCTTATTTCTCACCCTGGCTACAGCAAGACATGAGCATGGCTGCCAACAATAGAGCTATGGATTGAATGAGAGGCAGTCACTAACATTCTTAAGGCTGAAATTGACCGAAATTAACTATAATTTACTAAGTTTCAACCTTGGAAGTTGCAAGCATCCAAACAGTCTCCAGAGTTCCAAAATAATCACTTCAGACAATTTCTGAAGTACAACTGCTGTATAGGTAAAGAAATAAATTCATGGTATTTCATACTCCACCATCTTCTGTAAGGTCACTCTAGACAATCTATTTTTAAATCTAATTTTAAAATTATTTGAATGTTCACCAACATTTATATGCAACAATAAGAAAATTACAAAAATAGTAACTTCAAGTGATAATTATAATCAAATAGACTGTGAAATGTCTTTTTAGGCAAGTATAAACAATTGTGCATACTTATATAATACTGTAGTATGTTTATTGTGTCACAAAGTTGTGATGCTCCATTTAAAAACGAAATCATGAATCAATCTGAATCTCATATCAGCTAAGAAACTAGACTAAATCCACACTGCTAGAAAAATAGTATGGATTCCAACACTAGACTAATTCCAGAGCTCATAATCTTTCTACTAATTCTCTTTACATTTTTGTATATCTGGACTTCAGTTTGAGCTAGCAGTTATTATGTATAATGACTTACATAGTCTATGGAGCTAAACTATCTGTGTTCAAATTTTGGTTCCGTGACTTACTAGCTATGATCTTGGGCAAGGTACCTCTGTGACTCAGTTTCCTAATCTGTAAAATGAGAATAGCAACACTGTATATTTCTAACATGAGATTGTTCTAAGAAATAATGTATGTAATCTTTGCAACAGTGCTTGGTTCACAGTTTTAATCATTAAAATATTAAAATATTAATCGTCATCTATAAAACAAAGAGGTACTTAAGTAAGGATGTTAACTTCAAAAATTCATGTTTTAAGACTTCAGCTACTCATTATTCCAGAATAAATGAAAATAGAGTCCCAAAGCAGTAAAAAAGCTTGAAGGATCTCAAAAGCTATAAGTGGCAATAATGAAACAAACAAGTGCCTTTAACTGGAATTTTGTAACTAAGACTCTTTGGTATATTGCTTCATTTTGTGTGATGAGGTTTGTTTTAGAATTAATCTAAATTTAATTATTCTCAATAAATCAGTATTATGACTTTAGAAAATACTGGTAGGTGTGGATACACTCATGACGGCATTATTAGTAATATAAACTGCTAGGGGAAATATCTTCCTTAAACAACTCATCTTTAATACATTAACTCTTCAAGAATGATAGAAATGTTATACTTGTCAACCAATAACGGGATATAGATTTCAATCAATAAGTGATATAAAATAAGGAACATGAATAATACACAAAATCAAGAAGGGCCCTAAATAACAAATTTGGTTATTTGCAAGATTCACCTAACCTTTCTTAAAAACAAAAAAGAAAAATAAAACGTGGTAAAAACTCCTTTATACCACTCTGCTGGAAAACAAGATGATTTCATCATCTCGTGTGTCAATTATGTTACATCAAGTATTTCACAATGCTCTGTTTTCTGAAGTTAGATTCTTTGAACCCTACTTCTCCAAAATGCACAAGCATAGAGTTCTGTGTTATAGAGTTCTATTATGTTTTAATATTGCAATGGTAGATACTATGTGCATACATCATATATATACATCAAAAAATAATGTATAAAAATAATATAAACAAGTAATAAATACTGATTTGTAGTTTTTTTTACCAAAAGATCAGTAGCTTCTGAGCTATCCGAATTAACATCAAACTCAAAGACCATTTTTCTCTTTTTATTACTTTCTTCAGTGGGTACATTCTTGCTTTCTCTTTGCTGAATTTTTAGTTTTGTTGGTGTCTTCACAGTATATGCCTATCCAAAAATAAAAACAACACATTATCACATCAAACCCTATATTATTGATAAATGTAAGCTGAATCTTTAGTAATAAATAAGTCATCATTATTAATGGGATGTGTAGAGAGATTTTTTATAAGAATTTCATTCAGATATTTTTGATACTAAAACTTCTTTCTTCAAACAAATTATAATATTGGATATTTTCTTTGTCCTTCCCTTCAACTGACTAAGGAAAATAATGGCATGAGAGAGGGGGTAGAGAGGCTCTCTAGCTTCAGCAGTCAACAAACTTAAGAAAAGAGGGACTTAAGACCAAAGAACTGAATGAGCTTTGCTCTTTCTACAAAAATACTGATTTATGAGAAAATAGGTATTCTTATATTTTGTTCATAAAGTAATTCACATTAGTAAGTGCTTAGTATTCCATATTACCCTGTAAGTCTTATAATTTTTTTTAAAAAAAAGTACCTTTAAAGAGTTAGATCAGTGACATCAGCAAAAAATGGCAGAGTAAGGTACTCCAAAAACTTGCTCTTCCATAAAGCAATAAGAATACTAGTAAAATGGTCAAAGTCAGCTTTTTTAGAACTCTGGAAATTAACCAAAAGCTTGCCACAAACTATAGTGCTGCTTCTTTTTTTTAATGGCTGAACCCCTGAAAGAACATTAAGTTTTGTGGTATCTTAACTTTTCTTCATCCCAGCCCCAGTTTTCTATGTTACCTTCAAAAAATAATATCCCACAGTCCTGGTCCAGCCTGAGAGCCACTAGACAGAGCAGAACAGAATTGAGAGCTCTTTCAAAGCTTTATTCCCAAAAAGTTGTCATTAACTGTCTAGTGGCCCCTGAAAGACCTCACTGACAAGGCTGTCTGTATTTAAACTGACTTAGAGCTCATTCAGTACAAAAAGCTTTCTCCTTGGTGTGGAATACAGCACAGCATTTGTCAAAAACAATTACAGGCAAATGTTTTAACTTTGCGGCTCCAGGAGGCAATGATTTTAAGAGGGAAAATGATAGACTAACCAAAAAGTTCAAAAGAACAGGTAGGAAATGAGACATCCATAGAGGCTTTGAAAAGCTCTGACATTGGAAAAATCAAATAAAATCTAAAGTTTTGTTAACAGTAATGTGCCAATGTATGTTTCTTAGTTTCAACAAATGGTAATGAAGGTGTTAACAATGTGGAAAACTGGGTGACAAATATAAAGGAATTCTCTGTACTACCTTTGCAACTTATCTGTGAATTTAAAATTATGGTAAAAAATGCTCTTTTAAAAAAAAAATGCTCATGGGGTCACCACACCCATGAGAACAGCTAAAATCAAAAAGATAAAAAAACACCATGTGGTGGGCAAGGATGTGGAACAACTAGAATACTCATTCACTGCTAGCTAGGCTGTAAACTGGTGCAATTTAAAAAAAAAAAACATGATTGGCAGTATGATACAATGAGAAATATATGTTTAGTCTTTGTCCCTGGTTCCTGAAACAACTTCTAAAACCTGTGTAATTTCCTGAGTGATCAGAGCATCTTTTGGTACAATATTTGGTTTTGTCCCCAGTAATGTAACAGGACGAGTCTTCTGTTATTCAAAATAAGCTCCTTTCAGGATCCCTGGGTGGCGCAGCCGTTTAGCGCCTGCCTTTGGCCCAGGGCGCGATCCTGGAGACCTGGGATCGAATCCCACGTCGGGCTCCCGGTGCATGGAGCCTGCTTCTCCCTCTGCCTATGTCTCTGCCTCTCTCTCTCTCTCTGTGTGACTATCATAAATTTAAAAAAATAAAAAATAAAAAAAATAAGCTCCTTTCAACTGGACCAGAATTAAGGCTAATGAAATAACTGGTAGTAAGCGGCTCCTAGATAACTTCAGGATAATGGCTGGTCACCAGAAAAACCAAGGCTTGACTAGAAGTTTGTAACCTTTCAGCTATACCCCTTGACCTCCTCGGGAGGGAAGAGGGGTTGTAGACTGAGTTAATCACCAATGGCCAAAGATTTAACCAATCATGGTGGGTAATGAAACCTCCATAAAAACCCCTTAATGAATGAGGTTCTGAGAGTTTCCATGTGGGCAAACACATAGAGGCACTGGAAAGGTGGCACTCCTGAAGAAGGCAGGAAAGCTCTGTACCCCTTCCCTTACACCTTGCCCTATTCATCTTTACCATTTGATGGTTCTTGAGTTGTATTCTTTATGATAAACTGTTAATAGTAAGTAAATGAACTAGTAAGTAAATGAACTTCCTGAGTTCTGTGAATCATTCTAGCAAATCAGCAAACCTGGGGAGGAGGGTTATAGGAACCCCCAATTTAGAGCCAGTTGGTCAGTAGTACAAGTGGCAAACCAAGATTATGCCTGGTGTCTGAAGTGGAAGCAGTATTGTGGGACTGAGCCCTTAACCTGTGGGGTCTATATTAACTCCAAATACTATCAGAATTTAATCAAATTTTAGGACAACTAGTTGTTGTCTGGAAAATCAGAGAACTGGCATAGGAAAAAAGAACCCCATATGTTTTGTATCACAGTAAAAAACAGCAGTAAAAAACAGCTCAGGCACTATCTATTAAGATGGAACATATTATGCATAACCTTATAACCCACCAATTTCATTCCTAAAGACATACCCAACATATATGTCAAATATTAGACTTTTTATAGCAAGACTATGCATAAAAATCCGGTCAGGAAAGTACCCAAAAGTCCACTAACAATACAATAAATAAGTAAACTGTGGCACATCACACAATGGAATACTATATAGAAATATAAACAGAAAATCTACAACTTCAAGCAACAATATGGATAGTGAGTCCCACAAACATAATATTAAGTGAAAAAACTAAAACCAAAAATGATTCTCTGTATAGAAAGAAAATGCAAAAATGGGGAAAATGCAAAAACTGATACATCTATTAGAGTTGGGACAGTAGTTGGTCTTGGGGGAGAAACTAGTGATTAAAAGGGGCACAAGAAAATCTTCAGGAGTGACAGTAACATTATGTGTTTTAATCTGAATGCTGGTTACAAAGTTATGTTTAGTTTGTAAAGAATCATCAAGTTGTATAATTAAGAGCTGTGCATTTTTCTTAGATATATTTCAATATAAAGTTTTTTAAGTAAAGTCATTCCATATAGAGATCACTTCATAATCTGAATAATATAAATATAAAAAATAATTTTATATAAAAGCCTCTCAAAGCTATGTAGTTTACTAATCTTCATAATTTCTATAGTGTGGATAATACTGTATATGTAACAGGATGTGAGAGAGACTCTTCCTTTTGCTCTGGAATTGTCAACTGGGGCACAAAGCTATGGAAAAAAATGCTAATAACCCATATTCTAAAGAAAGCAACCTATGATTAAAGCCAGATCCTTCTCTAGGGCTTATTAAAAGGTGGTTAAACTGGCCCTACAATCACCAAACACCTTTTTTCCCCAGTTATTTTAAGGAAACTAGGAGGGGAACACATGAAATTTCAGGTTAGAGGAATAGAGAGGGTCAAAATATTTTTCCCTTCAATTTCCAAGGCAAATGAGGAGATAACCCTTAACAGCGGCCTTACAAAAAATAGAAGTACCTTCAAGAAGGACTGGCATTCCCTCAATAGATATAAACTAAGAAAGAAATTTTATCTCTTTTTGCCTTGCTGGATAGCTTAGAATAAAAAGAAATGAGAGAGAGATGGGTGGCAGGACATGGGGTCAGAAATAGAGTATTCTGTACTGCTATTTAGCATGCAAAGGATGAATGAATTCCCCATGGATTAAGTGGATATGTGGAAGGTAGCTAGTAACTGAGCCTTCTTGTTGGTGGCACCTGATCCACCAAGGGCTGACTGCTAAGTAAAGGACTCTAGCAGGAAGATAATACAAAGTAAACAGCAAAGGAAAGTAACTGGGGTGATACTCAAAAATGTTAAGAACCAGATTTCTCATATCAGGGAATGCCATCTGGTGAATGACAGAAAGTTATGGAATCTACTCAAAATGTCATTCAGTTGAGGACAGTGATACAAAAAAAAATTTCACAAGATTGAATTGGTTTTATATTTATATGTGTGATTCCAGATACATGGTATATGATAGCAGAACCTTCCTTTTTAACTAAAAATATTATGACCTTCCTAGAAATTTTAGCAACCAACCTTTGGTAATGGTGTAGATAAAGTACTTTTAGTCGGTGTCCATGAATAGTCTCTCTTATCTTTGGATTTGCTACGGTCAGCTGATGTGAACTTTTGAGATACATTTTGTGAAGGAGCTGCTTTAGAATCAAATTTCCAATAATGAGTTTCAGGTGTTTTCAATAAAGATGTCTGTGTTTTCTGTATTGAACAACAAAAGGGAATAAAATCATCACTACATGTCATTTTAATTAAAGTGCACCAATTAGAAATAACACTGGAATAAACTAGAATTTATCCTCAAATTTATTAATAATTAGATAACTTTGAATAAATTACCCTTGCCACTTTATTTTCCCACTTAAGATGAAAATGGTATCTGTCTGTCTTCACAGAGCTGCTATGAAAATCAATAAAACATCTCAATTCTCTAACCGACCAAAAGTTGAGGATCTGCTGAAGAAAAATCTCTATTCCTGGTGGCAAAAAGCCTTTCTTTGTGGTTCATTACAATAGCCTAAAAGCCAGAGGGCAGTTTATTTTATTCTCATTTGTATCCATTCTCTTTTATGCTTTCATATTTCCTCTCTCATCTATAAAAATATCAGTCCTTTCCTATCCACCAGCCTTACTCCTCACAAAGAAGAAGAAGAAGAAGAAGAAGAAGAAGAAGAAGAAGAAGAAGAAGAAGAAGAAGACGACAGAGAGGAGGAGGAGGAAGAAAGAAGGAAGAAGAAGGAGGAGGAGGAGGAGGAGGAGGAGGAGGAGGAGGAGGAGGAGGAGGAGGAGAAAAGAAAAATAGAGAAGAAAAATTGTAAAAGTAAAGAACCAGAAACTTTTTCCAGGAGGAAAAAAATAACTACTTTCTTCAATTCTGAAGATAAACAAATTACAAATTTACTCTAAATACTTAGGACTTTACTTGAACTCAATTTCTTCCATTTTCTTTCTATCTTTATATGTATCTTCTTTTCAGCGCCTGACCTATCTTTCTAGTAAGAGTTCATAATAACTGCTTTGGTGGAATTGTGCTAGCTGCTTTATAATTTTATCACTTCCTTTGGTCACCACCATCTCCATGAATACAAACATGGCAATTACATGAAAAAACAAGAGTGCATGCACAAACACACAATCACACACACATACACACAAAGGGCTATTCTCAAAAGTTCAGTGGTTAAATCTGCAGTAAATTTAAGTTAGGAGAGTACAGGATGCAGGATTAAGAGGTGACCACATTTGCTATAAAAACACTGGACTGATTGATGGACAAATGGATAAGGAAGATATGGTACCTACACACAAGAGGAATATAACACAATTGTAATAAAGGATGAGATTGTGCCATCTGAGACACCATGGATAGACCTAGAGGGTATAATTATGCTAAGTGAAATAAATCAGACTGACAAAAACAAGTACCATATGATTTCACTCATTGTGAAATCCCAAAAAACAAGTGAATAAACAAACAAAAAGCATAAGCAGACCTATAAATGCACAGGACAAACTGATGTTTGTCAGATGGGGGAAGGATAGGCAAAATAGATGAAGGGAAATGGGAAAAACAAGGTTTCAGTTAGGGAATTAATAAATCATGGGAACAAGAGGCACAGCATAAGGAGAAAAGTCAATGATATTGTAATATCAATTAAACAGGACATACAGTACCTACATTTGCAATGAACACAGTATAATGTACAAACTTATTGAATCACTATACTGTACACCTGAACTTATGTAACACTGTATGTTAACTGTGTGTGTGTGCGCGCTCGTGTGTACACAAACAACCATAGGACCAGGAGTCAAGTAATATGCTCTTTTCTCTTGGATCTCATTAATATCTTGTTGGATGATATTAAGTAAATTTTCAAGCATCCCTAGGCCTGAATTTATGCATCTGTATGATGAAGGGACTAAAAATGAGATGATGTGTACATTTCTGCCCAGTTCTAGTCATCTCACTTCACCATCTTTTTTCCAGCAGGTATAAATTTTGGGAGCATTACTTTACACAGCTGTATTTTTTGTATCCTATATTCCTGTTTAGGAAGGCCTATATATTTCTACATTATAGCTGATAACACAATTTTGATGAAAGCAAAGTTTTTCTGCTCTCTAAGTTCACCAGGAGTCATCCTCAGAATCTCCAAAATATAACTGTTTTCAGGGACAAATTTTTCTCTCCTGAAAGGACTGAGAATGACAACTACACCACCTTGTGGCCAAGTCTGGGAATTTAACATTTCCCTGAGACCAGAAGCTTGAAAGAAAATGCACCCCCATTCTAGAACACTGAAATAAACCGCTTCATTATAAGTCATGGAAATGTACTTTCCTATGAGTTACATTCTTCTATGAATGTTACAAGAATATTTTATTGTATTTTACTTTATTGCACTTTACAGATTCTGTATGTTTTTTGGTGTTTTTATTTTTTTTGCAAATTGGAAGGTTTGTGACAACTCTGATTCAGGCAAGTCTATCAGCACCATTTTTCCAAAAGCATTTACTCAATGCCACTTGTGTCACTTTGTGTCATATTTTGGTAGTCCTTATAATATTTCAAACTGCTGGATTATTATATTTGCTATGGTAATCTGTTATTAGTGACCTTTGATGTTACTATTGTAATTGTTTGGGGACACCATGAACCACACCCATATAAGATGGCAAACTTAACCTAAGTGTTGTGTGTGTTCTGATTGCTCCACTGACCTACCATTCCCCCATCTCTCTCCCTGTCTTTAAGCCTCCCTATTCTGAGGCACAACAAAACTGAAATTAGGCCAATCTTCATGCACTTGTAAGAGAAAAAGAGTTAACCATCTCTCACTTTAAATCAAAAGCTAGAAATGATTCAGCTAGAGAGAGGAAGGCATGTTGAGAGCTGAGACAGGCCAAAAGCTAGGCCTCTTGCACCAACCACTTAGCCAAGTTGTGAATGCAAAGGAAAAGTTCTTGAAGGATGCTAAAAGTACTATTTTCAGGGAGCACACGAACGATAAGAAAGTGAAACAGCCTATACTTATATGGAGAAAGTTGCAGTGGTCTGGATAAATCAAACCAGTCACAACATTACTTTAAGCCAAAACCTAACCCAGAGCAAGGCCCTAACTCTCTTCAATTCTAGGAAGGCTGAGAGAGATGAGAAAGTTGCAGAAGAAAAGTCTGAAGCTAGCAGAGGTTGGCTCATGAGATTTAAGGAAAGAAGACATTTCCATAAGGTAAAAGTGAAGGTGAGGGGTGCCTAGGTGGCTCAGTCAATTAAGCATCTGCCTTTGGCTCAAGTCATGATTCCAGGATCCTGCGATCAAGCCCTGCATTGGGCTCCCTGCTCAGCAGGATGTCTGTTTCTCCCTCTCCCTTTGCCCCCACCCCACTTATGCTCTCTCACTCACTTGCTCTCTAATACATAATTCTCTTTTTTAAAAAAGTGCACAGTGAGCAGCAAGTGCTAATGTAGAAGCTCCAACAAGTTATCTAGAAGACCTAGCTAATTAAGTACTGAAGAGGTCTATACTAAAAAAAGAGTTTCAATGTAGGTGAAATAGCCAAATATTGGAAGAAGATGCCATCTAGGACTTTCATAGCTAGGGAGCATAAGTCAATGCCTGCCTTCAAAGTTTCAAAGGACGGGCTGACTCCCTTGTTAGAGACTAATGCAGCTGGTGACTTTAAGTTGAAGCCAGTGCTCATTAACCCTTCTGAAAATCCTAGGGCTCTTTAAGAATTATGCCAAATCTACTTGCCTATGTTCTATAAATAGAACAATAACCAAGCCTGGATGACAGTATATCTAATTACAACATGGTTTACTAAATATTTTAACCCCACTGTTAAGACCTACTGCTTGGACAAAAAGATTCCTTTCAAAATATTACTGCTCATTGATAATGGACCTACTTACCCAAGAGCTCTGATGGAGATGTACAAGATAAACGCTGTGATACCTGCTAATACAACATCATTCTGAAGCCCATGCATCAAAGATTCATTCCGACTTTCAAGTCTTATTATTTAAGAAATACATTTTGTAAAACTATAGGTGCCATAGATAGTGATTCTACTGATGGATCTGGGAAAAGTAAGTTGAAAACCTTCTGAGGGGACCTGGGTGGCTAAGTGGTTGAACATCTGCCTTTGGCTTAGGTAGTGATCTTGGAGTCCTGGGATTGAGTCCCTCATTGGGCTTCTCTGCGGGGCACCTGCTTCTCCCTCTGCATATGCGTCTGCCTCTCTCTGTGTGTCTCTCATGAATAAATAAATAAAATCTTAAAAAAAAAAAAAGAAAACTTTCTGGAAAGAAGGCACCATTCTAGATGCTATTAAGAATATTGGTGGGGCAGCCCAGGTGGCTCAGCAGTTTAGCGCCGCCTTCAGCTCAGTGTGTGATCCTAGAGACCTGGGATCGAGTCCCATGACAGGCTCCCTGCCTGGAGCCTGCTTCTCCCTCTGCCTGTGTCTCTGCCTCTCTCTCTCTCTCTCTCTGTGTGTGTCTCTCATGAATAAATAAATAAAATCTTTAAAAAAAAAAAAGAATGTTTGTGATTTGGGATGCCTGGGTGGCTCAGTGGTTGAGCATCTGCCTTTGACTCAGGGTATGATCCCAGGGTCTGAGATCAAGTCCCAAATCGGGCTCCTTGGGGAGAGTCTGCTTCTCCCTCTGCCTATGTCTCTGCCTCTCTCTGTGTATCTCTCATGAATAAATAAATAAAATCTTTTTTAAAAAAAGCATATTTGTGATTCATAGGAAGAGGTCAACTATCAATATTAACAGGAATTCAGAAGAAGTTGATTCCAACCCTCATGGATGACTATAAGGGGTTCAAGACTTTCCTGGCAAAAATAAGTGCAGATGTGGTGGAAACAGCAAGGAAACTAGAATTAAAACTGGAGCCTGACAACGCGACTTAATGGCTGCAATCTTATGATTACTTCAAAAAGTGAGGAGTTGCTTTCTGTGCCGATAGTGCTCTCGCAAAGATGGTGAATGTTCCTAAAACCCGCCGGACTTTCTGCAAGAAGTGTGGTAAGCACCAACCCCACAAAGTGACACAGTACAAGAAAGGCAAAGATTCTCTTTACACCCAGGGAAAGCGGCGTTATGACCGGAAGCAGAGTGGCTATGGTGGGCAGACTAAGCCGATCTTCCGGAAAAAGGCTAAAACTACAAAGAAGATTGTGCTGAGGCTTGAATGTGTTGAGCCCAACTGCAGATGGAAGAGAATGCTGGCTATTAAGAGATGCAAGCATTTTGAAATGGGAGGAGGTAAGAAGAGAAAGGGCCAAGTGATCCAGTTCTAAACTTCATATTTTGTTATGAAGACAATAAAATCTTGATGTTATGTTCAAAAAAAAAAAAGTGAGGAGTTGCTTCTTATGGATCAGCAAAAAGAAGTGGTTTCTTGAGATAAAATCTCCTGTGAAGATTGTTAAAATAACAACAAAGGATTTAGAATATTATGTAAACTTCACTGATAAATCAGCAACAGCATATGAGAGGATTGACTCTGATTTTGAAAGAAGTTCTACTGTGGGTAAAATGCTATCAAACAGCAATCCTATGGTAAAGAGAAATCATTCACAAAAGGAAGAGTCAATGAAGCAACCTTCACTGTTGTTTTATTTTACAAAATTGCCATGGTCATCCCAACTTTCAGCAACCATCAGCCCTGATCAGTCAACAGCCATTAATATCAAGACAATATCCTCTACCAGCAAAAAGATTACAACTTATTGAAAGCTCACATGATGGTTAGCATTTTTAAGTAATACAGTATTTTTAAATTAAGGTATGAACATTGTTTTTTAGACAATTTTATTGCACACCCAACATACAGTGTGCATATAACTTTTATTTGCACTGGGAAACCAAAAACTCATTTGACTTGCTTTATTTATTGTGATACTCACTTCACTGCATTGGTCTGGAACTGAACCCACAAGATTAAGGTATGTCTGTATATAGAATATTTATGATTTTTTTACATTGAAGCATAATTAACATATACTATTATATTTGTTTCAAGTGTACAATATAATGATTCAACAATTCTATGCATTACTCAGTGCTCATCATTCTATTTTTTAGAATGCTTATATGGCATTTCCTACATGCCAAGCACTGTTTATTTATCAACACCTTAAAAATATTATCTCACTTAGTCCTTTTAACAACTTTAAAAAACAGATACTATTAATTAGTCATTTATATATGAACAAGCTGAGGCTGAAAGAAATAACTTGTCCAAATCAGAAATGTTTGATAAAACTATTAATTATTATATATAAGGCTTATGATACTTCAATATCATTGGAATAAAGTATAGCAAATAAAGGCCTATTTAAAATTTTTTTATTATTTCCTCATCATTTGTAATTTATGTATCTAGGACTTCAGATAAACAGTTGTGGCATTTACTAATCTACTTGAAAACAGAAATAAATAATGGGTGTATTTTACTAAAATTATACTGAATCAAAACAACTCCATACAAAATGTGACACCTACTTTCATAATCTGAACACATTCTATATTTGAAATGAGTATTAGATGTTCCTTACCTATTTATGAACAAAAATTTTTCCAAGGAGATGTTAGAAAACAAGTTGACTTACAAAGAAAAATCAAGAAAATTATATAAAACTCTTACCTTGTCTTTTTTTTCAAGAGTAATAGCTATGTTTTCTTTTGCCTCTCTTTTGAGTTTTTCCTATTAAAAATGAATACACACAATGAAGTCACTATTATTATCAAAAACTAATGCTATTATCAAAATACTTCTAAGAAGTACTAACAAAGAATAAACTCTAAAATCTTATAATGAAAACAAAACAAGAAAAATAAATTAGTTTCTTTCTACAGAGCTTGTTATTACTTTTAATTACCTTTTTTAAAAATTCTTATCTGTCCAGTATGTATCTATAGAATCTTGGCTAAGTCTTTTAACACTCTGAATCAACTTTCTCATTTGTAAAATGATCAGATTATAAACTAAGGAATACACATAAGTAACTAATTTTGAAAAGCTATAAAGAGATCCAAAGTATTATGGGCCTTTAGAGACAGAATTCAATTTTTTCTGTGCATTGAGGAAGGGTACATTTCTGTTGGACCTTGAATAATGAATTTTTAACATGAGATAAACAAGGATGGGGGAGGAAGTACAAGAAAATACAAAATACTTAGGAAACAATACATCACTTTTGCTAGAGATTAGGGTGTGTGTATATTCAGTAGAGGAAAAAGAAAAATTAACCCTGACCTACAAAAAAGAATATGTACTATGCCTTTAATATGATAGTCACCCAGAGAAGAGAATTGTTACAGCCCCCAGGAAGCCTTAAAGGACTGAGAGAAGATAAAGTTCCAACACAGAATTATAAGCAAACTTGCCTTGCCTACCCATGATGCCTATGCCAATATCAACCTCACTGAATGCGTTGTATATACCATATTATCTCTCCCAGAGTATTGCTCCTAACTGGAGAACTCACTTCACCATGAAGCTGGTAGTAAGCTAATGTAACAATAGTCACTATTCTTATTATGTACCCTATCAATGAACAATAGTTGATCTTCAGTTACAGTGACAACTGGGGTCTACAATAAGGGGCTAGAACACTTTTAGGATAAATTATATCCTCTAAACTAGCAAAATTGCACTGCCTCTCAGAGGACCTTCCAGAGGCTTTTAGAGGACAGAAGAGAGAAAAGCACCTTCCATGATTACATGTTCTCTCTAGATTCTGGACACATTTGCTAGTCTGGAGACCTTACAATCTGTTCTAATACAACATATGTTTTCAAGGTGTGAATTATTAGCTCATACACAAACAAACATCTTTGGTAGTGGCTAACTAATCATGAGTTCCCTAAGACCAAAGAGATAGGCAGTCTACTATGGTCCCTATTTAATCTGAATAACTCAAATATGCCTATAATATGGCATCAAATAGATGATTGACTTCAGCCACAGGAATAAAAGAATGATAGCCCTGTACCCAAATTTCAGACCTCAATAAATTTATAAACCTAGAACCCCTCAAATTAAAAGAAAGCCTAGTAACTCTCATAGAAGGATTTTGCAATAGTATCACAAATATATACTGTATCCTTTCTACTGTCTTGTGCACCAAGATACTAAAACTTATGTGTAAACTGGACATTGACTATTAACTAGCACCAATTATTATAACCTAAGATGTTGCTATTTTTTCATTAGTTCAAGTGTAAGTGTATTGGGGTCAGGTGATAAATGGCATTTAATCCAAGTCTACCTCATAATGAGCCCATGGAACCACTGACCTAATCTGTGGTCATTTCTTTAGATCCTAAATACAAAGTCTGAATAGATAAACTCAGTAAGTGCCATAATCCCTATATTGGTTCTCACCACAGAATGAAGTTTGTTTGTTTGTTTGTTTGTTTGTTTGTTTGTTTGTTTCAGAATCAAGTTTTTAAGTTTAGGAGGACCAACTAGAAGACTCTGAAACCTTCTTCCAGTTCAAGAATGTAAACAAACGTATCAAATGCCACATCTTACCTAGGTAGAGATTCAGGTCCATCGAATCATGAAAGATGTAGAGAAAGTGATTTATCACAGTCCCACAAAACCAACTTAATTGGAAAATTAAATTGACTGTTATCCAGTAACAGTTTTGTCATACTGATGGGCAAGTAACATAGGTCAAAATAGGGATTGCGTATTAACTAGGATCAAAATTGAGGACTAAGAAAAAAGTTTCATATAAAAGATGAACTGAATATATGTAAACATAAAGTTCAAATTAAACAAATACCAGAATCATGTTTACAGAAATATATATTTTTATTAATCTTGAAAACATAAATTAACCAAATAAATATAAAAATCATATATGTAGAGGAAGAGGCAGTAGGAGAAAGTGTTAGATATAATGCTTAAAAATATAAAGGTAATCAGTAAAATAATTCAAAATACTACACACACCTTTTTTTTTAATTTTTATTTATTTATGATAGTCATACAGAGAGAGAGAGAGGCAGAGACACAGGCAGAGGGAGAAGCAGGCTCCATGCACCGGGAGCCCGATGTGGGACTCGATCCCGGGTCTCCAGGATCGCACCCTGGGCCAAAGGCAGGCGCCAAACCGCTGCGCCACCCAGGGATCCCTACACACACCTTTTAAATCAACCAGATACACACAATTTAGAGAAAAAGAAAATACTAATATGTAATGTAAAATAATATGACAAAAACATATTGAATTATATATCAATAGGGAGTTAATATCTAGAATACATAAGGAACTCCTATAAGTCAACAATAAAAAACAACTAAACAATGGGCAACAGAACAGAAACTTTGAATAGACAATTCCCTAAACAAGATATACAACTGGCCAACAAGGGAAAGGAGTAATTAACAACTTCAAAAACAAATTCAACAATAAAAACACACAACCTTATGCCATAATTTGGGATTCTAGCGAGGCTCAGCATGACAGCCACAGAGTATACTTGTGCTCATTTGGCTCTAATCAATATAACTCTTAATCTAATCATCATTTGCATAATATTGGTGAAAGTGGACACATACAATAATGAGAATAACTGTCAATAATATACTTGAATTGATAAGAAGTATCTGAGGGGATATATAAGCAGTCTATTAAAAAAAGGAGGCCTAGAAAATGCACAGAGAGTGAAAGTTTTGGGAAAAATAACTAAACTTTTTCACCTTGGTCTCTCTGTCTGGACAAAGAAAGCACATTATCCTTGCCAATAAATAGAACACACTAGCAATAAAGCCAAAAGACAAATTTCAAAAAAAAAGAAAGAAAGAAAAGATCCCTATAAAAGAGCAGAAAACACAAAAAAAGAAGAGATTCATTGAAAAAACACATGAATTGTGTACTTTTCCATGGTTCCTTCTCATCACCCTGTAAGTAGAATATACCAAACCATAGTATTCTTATCTTTTCCCTCATAAAACAGGCTAAAGAAATACATCTTGAAGATAGATTGGTAAAATGGCAAAAAGCAAATAGCCATATGCATATATGTATATGTATACACACACACATGAAATATTACTCAGCCATGAAAAAGAACGAGCTCTTGCCATTTGCAACATGAACAGACCTAGAGAGTATTTTGCTAAATAAGTCAAAGACATATACCATATGATTTCACTTATATGTGGAATCTAAAAAACAACTGAACAGACAAAGCAGAAACAGACTCATAAATACAGAGAACAAATTGATGGTTGCCTGAGAGGAGGTGGGTGGGGGCTGGCAAAATGGGTGCTGGAAAATAGGACATACCAGCTTCTACTGGAATGACTAAGTCACAGGGATGAAAGATAACAGCATATAAAATAGAGTCAGTGATATTGCAATAGCACTGGATGATGACAGATGGTAACTACACTTGGGGTAAACATAGTATAACATATAGAGTTGTTTGAATCTTTGTTATACTCCTGAAACTAACATAACATTGTATATCAATGATACTTCAATTTTAAGAAAAAGAAATACCACAACTTACCCTTTCAGATAGATATATAGGCTCACACTGAGTTGGTGAAAAAAATCTGAAGCCTAAGGACAAAACATCACAAGAAAACTACAGACCAATATCTCTTTATGAATAGGGATGCAAAAAATCCTCAACAAAATAGCAATGAACTGAATCTGATGGAATATAAAGATTAAACATCATGACCAAATAGGATTTCTCCCACGAATGTAAGATTGGTTTAACATCTGAAAATCAGTTAATGTAATACTTCGTATTGATACAAAAACCACATGATCATCTCAATATACACAAAAAAAGCAGAAAAACCACAAAACCGGGATCCCTGGGTGGCGCAGCGGTTTGGCGCCTGCCTTTGGCCCAGGGCACGATCCTGGAGACCCGGGATCGAATCCCACGTCGGGCTCCCGGTGCATGGAGCCTGCTTCTCCCTCTGCCTGTGTCTCTGCCTCTCTCTCTCTCTCTCTCTGTGACTATCATAAATAAATAAAAAAAAAAAACCCACAAAACCCAGCACCCTTCTATGATAAAAACATTCAACAAATTAGAAATTTTCCCAATTTGGTAAAGGGCATCTAGATTAACTGAACTTCATCAGAATTAAAGGTTCTGTGCTACAAATAATACCATCAACAAATAAAAAGATAATCCACAGAATGGAAGAAAGCACTTGCAAATCTTAGATAAGGGACTGATATCTAGAATATATAAAGAATTCTTAAAATTCAAAACTAAAAAAACACAGAACCAAATTTTTTAATAGGCCAAGCATCTGAATATACATTTCTCCAAAAACGATTTACAAATGGCCAACAGCACATAAAAGGATGATCAACATCACTAGCCATTAAAGAAATATAAATCAAAACAATGATGATATACCATGTCATACTCAATAGGATGATTATAATCCAAAAAGTGTTTCTGAGGATGTGGAAAAATTGGGACTTTCATGTGTTGATAGTGGGAACCCAAAATGGAAAAACTGGCTTGGAAAAGTTGGGCAGTACCTTAAAATGCTAAGCATAGATATATTATATTAACCAGCAATTTGGAATGCCTGGGTGGCTCAGTGGTTGAGCATCTGGCTTTGGCTCAGGGCATGATCCCGGGTCTGGGAATGGAGTCCCTCATCGGACTCTCTGCAGGGAGCCTGCTCCCTCTCTGCCTAAGTCTCTGCCTTAAGTCTTTTGCTACAGTAACCCAAGCAGGCTAATACAAAAATCATACAGATTGTGTTCTCTGAATCAAACTAAAAATCAGTAATAGAAAGTTTACAAGAAAATCTTAGAATACATGAAAAATTTTAAACATACTTTTAAATAACCTATGGGTCAAAAAAGTCACAAAGAAATCTAAAATTATATAGGACTGAATGAAAACAAAAACACAACATACCAAATGCATGTGGAATGTAGCTAAAGCAGTAGAGAGAAAAAAATCTATAGTGCTAAATGCTTTCATTAGGAAAAAGGGAAGAGTGACATCAGCAAAAATGGCATGAATTTTCTATAATTCTAGAATAAACTATTCTAAAACTTGTATGGAAACAGAAAAGACCCCAACAGCCAGAGCAATCTTGAAAAAGAAAGAAAAGCTGGAGGTATCACTATTTCAGACTTCAAGCTATACTAAAAAGCTGTATTCATCAAAACAGTATAGTACTAACACAAAAACAGACACATAGATCACTGGAACAGAATACAGAATCCAAGAATGGACCCCTCAACCCTAAGGTCAACTAATCTTCAACAGAGCAGTTAAGAATATCAAATGGAAAAAAAAAAAAGACGATCTCTTCAACAAGCGGCATTGGGAAAACTGGACAGTCACATGCAGAAGAATGAAACTGGACCACTTTCTTACACCAATCACAAAAACAAATTCAAAATGGATTAAAGACCTAAATGTGAGACAGGAACCTATCAGAATCCTAGAGGAGAATACAGGCAGCAACCTCTTTGACCTCAGCAACAGCAACTTCTTACTAGACACGTTGCTGGAGGCAAGAGAAACAAAAGCAAAAGTGAACTACTTGGATTTCATCGAGACATAAAGCTACTGCACAGTGAAGTAAACAATCAACAAAACTAAAAAGCAGTCTATGGAACGGGAGAAGATATTTCCAAATGATATATCTAATAAAGAGTTACTATCCAAAAATCTATAAAGACCTTACCAAATTCAACACCAAAAAATCACAAAAAACAAATAATTCTGTTAAAAAATGGGCAGAAAACATGAATAAATATTTTTTCCAAAGACGACATCTAGATGGCTAACAGACACATGAAAAGATGCTCAACATCATTCATCGTCAAGGAAAGACAAATCAAAACTACAATGAGCTCTCACCTCACACCTACTAGAATGGCTAAAATTAACACAGGAAATCACAGATGTTGGTGAGGATGTAGAGAAAGGGAAACTTTCTTACCCTGTTGATGAGTGCAAACTGGTGCAGCCACTCTGGAAAACAGTATGGAGGTCCCTCAAAAAGTTAAAAATAGAACTACCCCTATGATCCAGCAATTGCACTACTATGTATTCATCCAAAGAAACAAAAATACAGATTCAAAGGGATACTTGCACCCTGATATTTATAGCAGCATTGTCAACAACAGCAAAATTATGAAAACAGCCCTAATGTCCATCAACTAAGGAATGGATAAGGAAGATGTAGTATACCTATACAATGGAATATTACTCAGCCATCAAAAAAGAGTGAAATCTTGCCATTTGCAATGATGTAAATGGAGCTAGAGTGTATTATGGTAAGCAAAATGAGTCAGTCAGAGAAAGACAAATACCCTAGATTTCACTCATATGCAGAATTTAGGAAATAAAACAGATTGACATGGGGGGAGAAGAGGCAGACCATAAAACAGACTCTTAATTACAGAGAACAAACTAACAGTTGTAGGAGAGGAGGTGGGCTAGGGTATGGGCTAAATGGGTGGTGTGTATTAAGAAGGGCACTTGTGATGAGCACTGGGTGTTATATATAAATGATGAATCACTAAATTCTGCTCCTGAAACCCATATTACACTATACAATAACTAACTAGAATATAAATAAAAACTTAAAACAACAATACAAAAAGAAAAACATTGTGCACTATTGGTAGAGTTTTAATTGGTACAGCCACTATAGAAAACAGTGTAATGTTCTTCAAAAAATTAATAATAAAACTGCCATATGATTCAGCAATTCCATTTCTGGGAATATACTCAAAAGAAACAAAAACACTATGCTGAAGAGATATCTGCACCCACACGGTTCACTGCAGCATTATTTCCAATAGCCAGGATATAGAAACAACCTAAATGATACCAATAGATTAATGGGTAAGAGTGATACACAGACACATACACACACAATGCAATATTATTCAGCCATAAAGAGAAGGAAATCCTGCCATTTCCAATGACATAAATGGACCCTGAGAGCATTATGCTAAATGAATTAAGTCAGAGAAAGACAAACACTTGTACAATATTATTTATATGTGGAATCTAAAATTTTAAAAACTCATAGAAAAAGATATCAGATTTGTGGTTACCAGGGGCAGAGGTTTAGGGGTTGGGGAATTAGATGAAAAGTGGTCAAAGCTACAAACTTCAAGTTATAAGATAAGTACTAAGGTTGTAATTTTACGACCCAATGTCTATAGTTAACACTGCTGTATGGTATATTTGAAATTTAAGAGAGTAAATCCTAAATGTTCTCATCATAAGGCAAAGAACATTCTTTTCTTTTTTTCTTATATTGAAATGATGGATATTAACTAAATCTATATGATAATCATTTCACAATATATATAGGTCAAATTATGCCACATAACTTAAATTTGTACAGGGCTGTATGTCAATTATCTCTCAATAAATCTCAAAAACATTTGGAAAAAAAGAACATTAATAAGAATAGTTAGAGACAATGGAGCCTTCTACTAAAGCAGTAGTATAAAGGTAAGTATGTGTTACTATCATAGGTGAAGAGAAGCCATTTAGTTATTCCTTTAATAACATTCATTAAAAACAAAAAATTTTCAAAACATTGTGCTCAGATAAAGGGAAAATAAGAATAAATAAGACACAATCCTTACCTTTGAAGAGTTTGAAACATAATGGAAGCACAGAGTGACATAACTATTTTAATATAAAAACAAAGTGCTATGAGAATATGTAGATATAGTAAGCTCACCTTTGCAATAGGAAACATGTGTCAGATGTTTAATAGTGGATAAAGGAAGAAAGGAATTAAGTGCAGGAAACAAAGAGAACAAATGGACAGCGTCTTGAAATTGAAAGTGCATGTTACCTAGGCTGTTGCTAAGGGATTAAGATAAAAGGTTTTGGAATCATGCAAAACCTACATTTGAATTCTAAGCCATTCTACTTTTTTATTATGTGATCATGAATAAATAACCTAACCTCTGTAAAAATGAAAATAATAAGTATTGCTTTTAGCATTGTTCTAAGAACTAAATTAGATGTAAGTAGGATAGCACAGTGTCTGTCCAATAGAAGCAAAAAAATAAATGGTATTTGTCATTTTAAAGTAAGTCAATTCATATTGTAAATTGCAAAACACTATACAAATATAAGGCATTATTTTTTCTAAAATCTGATGAACAGTTTAAAAACACATCTAAATATATAAGTATTTTATAACATTTGAGATTTTCCCAAGTACTTATATTTAAAAGCACTTCTACCCTTAGAGTATGCTTATATATTTCTATGTGTTTAATATTTAAACAAAGGAATATACTGTATCCTTCTGAAAAAAAGCTAATGAGGTAAAAACTATATGTTTTAATCCTAGTTACCCAAATATATTTTCTAATATGACATGCTTATAAAAACAAAGTTGCAGTTATACTTGTTAAAAAATTTAATTAAAAAAACTAGGAAGTTGCACCTAAATGTTATTAGTTACTTTACTATAATGCCACAAAAACTACCTTTTCTTCTCTTTCTATTTCAAGTTGTTTCTTAACAGACAAAAGTTCACTTTTGAGATTAGACAATTCAGACTCCTAAAGAAAAAAAACATGAAATTTATAAGTGTATCCTTGTATTTCTCAAAACAGTGAAAATGCTAACAAATGCTTTATATTTAGTTTTACAGAAAAATGAATTCACTCATAAAATATATAAACTTGAAGTCTACTGATATGGAGGCTGCTAGTTGAACACGACTAAAGATTTCATTTAGACAAATTTCATATAGTTTTCTCTAAAGAAATATTTAACACTATATATATATATATATATATATATATATATATATATATATCTTCCTTACCTTCTCCCAATCTATCCCATTCCTCCTCTCCCAATCTCTATCAGAGCTCCAAATTTATTTGTAACTGGAGTTCGTATTCATTTGAAAAAAAAGAGTCTATTCTACCATTTCAAAAAATAAAACTGGAAAACCATTTACCTATAAAACCTATATTTTTCAAATCTAAAATTTTTTGATTCCACAGCTCAAAAATTTTATTTAATATTATTCTTTACCCTAGCCATGCTGATATGAAAATTGGCTTTTACTGTTCTTCATTCTGAATCTTACCAAAGATGCTTTCATTGATGACTGTTCTTGTTCCTTGCTTTTATAATGTCCTAATTCTGAGTCTCTTTCTTCAACTATTTTATCATATTGGTGCTACATTAAACAGAAAAAATATTTTAGGTATATTAGAACACAGATTATGTTTAATAATACTGTTATCCTTAAGCATTTAATATTGGCAGAAAATATCAATGAATTCAGTTATATACACATTTGAGCTTTTTCTAATTTTTCAAGTCATTTTTTATTCAAATAACAAACAATGAAACATAGAAAAGTCTTGAAAGTAATCTAACATAAGAACAACAAAAAGTCTTTTTAATTGGAAATGCTGAATTTTATAATTTAAAAAATAGGCTAGAAATACCAAGACCTCTTAGAAATGTAACTGATTCCAGATCTGGGGCAGGAAATACAAGATGAGTCTTGAACATTTTGTCATAATAAAAAGGAAAAAAGCTGTCAGAGATTATTAGGGTCAAGTCAAAAGGACCGGCCAGCTAGTTTGAAGAGCCTCCCACTGGCCAAAAGAGGAACAACTTGAGTGTCAAGGATTAGACTGAATTGAGACATACCAAATACAGTATTCAATTTAAATCTCTGAATTCCTAGTATTTTAATGAATTTTGTTAATTTTTATTATTAAAATACTTTTTAATCTTCATTGGTTACCTCATAACTATGTTATATCCTACCAACAATTTTAAAGATGAATAGGTAGTTAGATCCCACCTCTTCTCTTCAGATCTTGAAGGGAATAAAGCTGAATTCCATAACAGAATGATTACTTTTAAAACAACAAAAAATAAAGCATACTCACAAACACAAAAACATCTATTTATACCACTTTCATCTATTTATACCACTGATAAAAATTTGTTTAGCCTAATATATGTTAGGCACACATAGAGGGTATAAGTATCTACCAGATACATATTCTGGGGATCTACTTAAATATAAGGTGAAGAGTGCTCTAAGAGACTATTAGGAAAATTCAGAAGGAAAGTAATTACTTCTAAACATCATTGATGACAAGAAGAAATATTCTCAAGGAATATACCCAAACTCAGCTTTGTGTGGTTAAGACCTGAACTTAGGATATTCTTGATCTCCTATTTCTCTGTCTGTAATCAGTCATCATTGTATAATTTTCTGACAAATCAGAATACTTTCTTGATTTTAACATTTTATGCATAAAATGGTTCTAATAATAGTTCTTCATTAAATACACACGTTACCTTATGTTTTTCCATAAGTGCTACCATTTCAGCTATTTTATGTTGACATCGTATATCAATTTCTTTCTGTAACTTTACTGCTTCATCAGCTACTGCTTTTGCTTTCTCAACCTATAAAATAAAGTTTCTTAAAATTAATGCACAAAAAACAAAGTTAACTTAAATGTAAAGACCATACACACTATTTACATAAAGTGCAAAAAATCAAATACCAGGAAATTAGGAAAGCCAAGTAAAAAATGCATTACTATTTTGGTTTATTTTAGGGTGTCCTATCAAGTGAGATGACAGTTTAACACTGTAATAAGCATTTATCTTTTCAAAATAATACACTGCTCAATACTCAAATACTTAAAATAACAAAGACACTTTTAAGCTTCCTCAGAAACTGTCTCATATAAATTTATTAAATCTTTTAAGTCATAATTTTAAAGTTAAAAATTGTTTTTCTCTTAAATTGCTAATAAACAAATATAGAGCTTTAATATAACAAATTTTCAAATATGTTTAATTTTTCCTACCTCTTGCAAAAGATTTTCTTCTGACATCTTTTTGTCCTCAATTTCTTTTTGATAGCTGCCAGTCATTTCTTTAAATTTTTGTTTGGCATCTTCTAGTTCTAACTCTAATTTACTGACCTTTGAGTAAAGAAAATAGCATGAACATTAGTAAATGATGTGGATTTCTTGAAAATATTCTGTGTTCAGTCAAGATACAAAGTACACGTATCAATTTAAAGTCCCAGCAACAGCGTGTTAGGAGTTTTGCCTGCTTCACAGCCTCATCAATAGTTGATAGTAACAGTCAAAAGTACTTGCCTGAAGTTTTGTTATTTAATTTGTATTTTCCTAAAAATTTTATGTTTAATTCTCCATTTTTTTCATTCTGTAAAATTTCTATTCAGATCTTTCACTTATCTATTTAGTTGTTTCATCCTAATGACTTATAGAAATTCTTTAATTATGGATTCTAATATTTTGTTCATTATATGTGTATAATGGATATTCCCCCAAAGTATGAGGTTTGTCTCTGTTTTCTAAATAAGCAAAAATTATTAATTACAGCATATATGGGTTTATCAACATTTTGAAACATGATTGTATTTCTTACACTGCTTAGGAAATCTTTCTTGACCACCAGACTACAGGAGATACTCTGTAATTTTGCTCAAACATTTTGAAGCCCTGCCTTTAACATTTACATCCCTAAGCAATTCATTTTTGTATGTAGCATAGAGGTACAATTTCATGCTTATATATGAAGAGTCAAATGTTCCAGCACTACATATCTATAATACTACCCACCCCTGTATTATATCAAGTTATCACTTATGCATGGATCTCTTCCTAGATTCTCTCTTGGGTTAAACTCATCTGATTACCCCTCTGCCAGTACTATGCTCTTTATTACTTTAGCTTCACAATTAATCTTTATACCTGGTTGGGTACATTTACTCCCCCTTGTTCCTTTTGAGAACTGCCTTAGTTATTCTTAGCCTACTGCTCACACATTTAAATTTTAGAACCAGTTTGTCAGTTTCTACAAAAATCGTTGGTGAAATTTTAATTGAATATGTAGATCAATTTGGAAAAAAACAGCATTTTCATATAAGTCATATATTTTTAAAATTATATATATATATATATATATTTTTAGGTAGGCTCCACACCCAGTGTGGAGCTTGAACCTATGACCCTGAGGATCAAGACCTAAGCTGAGATAAAGAGCCAGACATCTAACCAACTAAGCCACCCAGGCCCCCCTAAAATTATACTTTCTAATAGTAAATTATATTTTCTAATAATTTTACAAATTGCAAATTTGTACAACTAGTAATATTTCTCTGTAATGGCCATATATCTAACAACCTTAATAAACACACTTAACAATTGTATAATTATAGATATACTACATATACAACTCCCATCTAAAACTACCTGAGTTTGTTTTTTTTTTCACCTGAGTTTAAAGTATGCTTTGTTAAAAGATATTAAATTGCTGATTCAATTTCTGTAATAAGACTAATAGCCAGGCTAATTATTTCTTTTTAAGATTGTTTTTTGGTTAATCTACTTCATTTTAAGTTTTTCAAATATATTGGCATAATGATGTTCATAGTAAATCAACTATACAGGTTCCTTGAAAAAGAAAAGCTGGAGGCATCACAATTCCAGACTTCAAGTTATACTACAAAGCTGTAGTGATCAAAACAGTAAGATAATGGCAAAAAAAAAAAAAAGACATATAGATCAATGGAACAGAATAGAAAATCCAGAAATAAATCCACAACTACATGGTCAATTAATCTTCAACAAAGCAAGAAAGAATATCCAGTGGGAAAAAGATGGTCTCTTCAACAAATAGTGTTGAAAGCAACATGCAAAAGAATGAAACTGGACCACTTTCTTACATTATACACAAAAATAAATTCAAAATGGATTAAAACCTAAATTTGAGACCTGAAACCATCCATATAAAAGCTAGAAGAGAGCAAAGGCGTTAATTTCTTAGACACTGGCTATCGCAACTTTTTCTAGATAGGTCCCCTGAGGCAAAGGAAACAAAATAAAAAATAAACTGCTGTAATTATATCAAAATAAAAAGCTTCTGCACAGTGAAGGAACAAGCAACAAAACTAAGAAGCAGCCTACAGAATGGGAAAAGATATTTCCAAATGACATATCCAATGAAGGGTTAGTATCCAAAATATATAAAGAACTTACAAACTCAACACCCAAAAAACAAATAATTCAATTGAAAAATGGGTAGAAGACAAGAGACATTTCTCCAAAGAAGACACACAGGTGGTCAAGAGACACATGAAAACATGCTGATCATCACTTACTGTCAGGGAAGTACAAATCAAAACTACAATGAGATATCACCTCACACCCTGTCAGAATAGCTAAAATCAAACACAAGAAACAAGAAGTCTGGGCAAGGATGTGGAAAAAAAGGAACCTTCTTGTACTGGTAGTGGAAATGCTAACTGCTGCACCCACTCTGGAAAACAGTATGGAGATTCCTCAAAAAAAGTTAAAAATAGAACTACCCTATGATCCAGAAATTGTACCCAACCAATTAAAAAACACTAATTGGAAGGGTTATATACACATAATAGAATATTACTCAGCCATAAAAAAGAACAAAATCTTGCCATTTGCAATGACATGCATGGAGCTAGAAGGTATAATGCTAAGTGAAATAATTCCATCAGAGAAAGACAAATACTTCATGATTTCACTCATATGTGGAATTTAAGATACAAAACAAATGAGAGCAAAGAAAAAAGAGAGAGAGACAAAGCAAGAAACAGACTCTTAGCTATAAAGAACAAACTGATAGTCACTATAGAGAAGGTGTGCAGAGTGGATGAGTTAAATAGGTGATGGGGATTAAGGAGTACACTTGTTGTAATGAGCATCAGTTGTTGCATGGAATTGTTTAATCATTATATTTTAACCCTGAAACTAATATTACACTGAATGTCAACTGGAATTAAAATAAAAACTTAAAAAAAGAATAAACAAGAGAAGGCACAAATAACCAATACCAGGATTGAAAAGAGAACATAACTATAGATGCTGCAGACAATTTTATAGAAAACATAGATGAACTTGGCAAAATCAAGAAAAATATTATTTACCAAAATTGAAGAAATAATAACTAAATAATACTACAACTATTGATGAAATTGTATGATAAATTACAAACCTTTCCACAAAGAGAACTCTAGGCCCTGGAGGTTTCATGAATGAGTTCACCTTTATCAAGATATAATGTATATGCAATAAAATACAGAATTATTTTTAGTGTAACAGTATGGTAAGCTTTGACAAATGTTTTTACAGCCATGTAATGACAACATCAATCAAAACATAGATCATTTCCATCATCCCAGAAAGTACCCTTAATGCCCTTTTGCAGTCTAAGCCCCATTTCTCAAAGGCAACCAATATTCTGCTTTCTGTCTCTATAAATGGCTTTGTCTATTCTAAAACTTCATTTAAATGGAATTATGCCAATCATATCCCCTTGTCATGTGGATTATTTTGCTATGTTCTAAGATTCATCCATGTTTCTGTAGAGTCAATAGGTCTTCTTTACTGCTGAGTAATAATATTCCATTGCATGAATATATAACAAATTTGCTTATCTAGTCTCCTGTTAATGGATATCTGAACTCTTTCTAGTTTATTATAAATAAACCTGCTATGAGTATCTTGTGCAATACTTTTAGTAAACATATTTTCATTTCTCTTAAGTAAACATCTAAGAAAAGAATCACTGGATCATGTATGCTTAGTTTTTTAAGAAACAACCAAAGTATTTTCAAAGTAATTGTACTATTTATACTCCTAATAACAAAGTTTGAATGTTCTGGTTAATCTGTATGCTCACTAGCATTTGCTGCTGATGGTCTTTTTAACTTCAGCCATTCCTGTGGGCAGTGCCCTGAGCTTAGTTTCCTGCTCTGTTATAGTCATCTTGAAATTTTTGATGATTTTTGAGCTAGATGCCCCACCTTTTCACTTTGCACTGACCCCTGAAAATATATAGCTGGTTCTGCTTGTGGGTGTAGTAATATCCCCTTATGGCTTTATTTTTCATTTCTTATAACCATAGTGTTGAACATTCTATCATGAGCTGATTAATCTTGTACATTTCCTTTGTGAAGTGTCTATTCTCTTGCCAATATTTTTATTTTTTATTGTGGTAAAATACCTATAAAATACAATTTACCATCTTAACCTTTTTAACTGTACAGTTAGTTTATATTGTTATGGAACCAACTCCAGAACTATTTTCATTTTATAAAACTAGACCTAAGTACTCATTAAACAACAACTCCACTTTCTCCCTCCCCACAGCCTTTGGCAACCACCATTCTCTAGCCTATAAATTTGGCTACTCTTAGGTACCTCATATAAGTAGAATACAGAATTTGTCCTTTTGTCCTCAAATTTTATCCATGCTGTAGCATCTATCAGAATTTCCTTCTTCAGGCTGAATAATATTCCACTCTACATATATACCACATTTTGTTTGTCCATTATATATGGACAATAAATAAATGTTGAGTTGCTTCTACCTTTTGGCTGTCATGAATAATGCTGCTTGTGAACATGGGTGTACACATATCTCTTTGAGACTCTGCTTTTAAATCTTTTAGGTATATACCCAGAAGTGGAGTTACTGGATATATGGTTAATTCTCTTTTTAGTTTGTTGAGTGATTGCCAGACTACTTTCCATGGCAGTGGTACCATTTGACATTCCCACCAACATTATACAAAAACTCAAATGATCTACAACTTCACCAACACTTTTTTTTTATAGTATCCATTCTAATGGATGTGAGGTGGCATCTTATTGTAGTTTTGATTTGCATATCCCTAATTATTAGTGATGTTGAGCATCTTTTCATGTACTTATTGGACACCTATATATCTTCTTTAGGGAAATGTCTATTCAAGACCTTTGCAATTTTTTAAATCAAGTTGCTTGTTGTTGTCTTTAGCTCATTTTGAATTGGAATATTTACCTTTTAGTGTTGAGTTTTAAGAGTTCTTTATATATTCTCAATATAGGTCACTTGTCAAATAAAAGTATTTCTCAGTATTTGCACCTTCTTTGTA